TTTTTGGAGACAGAGTCTCATTTTATTGCTTTCAGTAGAGTGCTCACAGCAACCTCCAACTCCTGGGCTTAGACGATTCTCTTGCCTCAGCCTCCTGAGTAGCTGGGACTATAGGCGCCCACTACAACGCCCAGCTATTTTTTGTTGCAGTTTGGCAGGGGCTGCATTCGAACCTGCCACCCCCGGTATATGGGGTCAGCACCCTACCCACTGAGCCACAGTCCCCACCCTCTATTCTGGATTTTCATCCCATCTCCATCACTACAGGCCCAGGGCGTTGTCCTAGGTACTGAAGCTCTTCCATTTTGAAGCAGGGGGCTATCCCAGCTAGTTGCTCCTTTGGTTCACAATTTTCCTCTTATTTGAAACTATTTACCTTTCATCATAAATATTAGAATCAGCTTGTCTACTTCCATTAAAGAAGAAAGCCTGAGATTGTACCTTGACCCAGGTTAGACGTGAGCCCTAGTCTTCTGCAGTCAGGTCTCACACACACCCATTCTGGTCACTTCTGTTATGCCAGGAGGCATCTGGAGAAACGAGATCCTATGAATACTGCTGTCAAATAAAGATTTTCTTTAGGGCTCCTGTGACTTGACAGTGTAGGGCGCCGACCCCATATGCTGGAGGTGGTGGGTTCAAACCCCTGCCCTGGCCCCCCCCAAAAAAAAGATTTTCTTTAATTGGCCATTTTTGGAATTCTGCTCCATAGGGGATTTTTGATGGGGTTTTAATTTTTAAGTGTTTGTAGTTTAGGCCATAAGAGGTTCTTTTCAAAGTAGAAGAGAAAGTAGCTGTGTGAGATCTACTGAAGTGCTTGCATTTGCTGTTTTGCTTTGTTTTATAACCTTTGGTATAAGAGTTGGCATTTGTGGAAGCTGAAAGTGTTGGCTTCTGCTCTGCGGGGGATCTCTAGTGCCCATTCTTCATACGCAGCACCCACTGCCTTTGCTTATAGTGCAACCATTTGCTACTGCGAGACATTTTCCAAGGCCTTTAGAAGGAATTTTAATATGTAAAAGCAGGAACATGAGACCTGTACAAAGTAGGTGAAGTGCCTGAGTAGGTGAGAGCTGGCTCCTCCTGGGCCTCAGCACTTATCTTCATTATGGTGGTGAGGTTGACTCTCCCTGGTCAGACACCTGAGAGAATCAACCTTCTCAAGTAAATCAAGTATTGATCATCAGTAATTTAGCCTTTTGCACACCTTCTACCTGTTTGTTAAATTAAACTTTTGCCCAGTCACACATCTGCTGCCTCCCATGGTGTGTTGAATGTTTAGTCTCTAAGAATCTGCCGGTTTTCCAGAGCAGCCGTCTGTCCATTTTACATTTCTGCCAGTGACGTCAGAAACCTCTTTTCTCCACATCCTCACCAGCACTTGAGGCTGTTACTGTGTTTTATTTTAGCTGTTCTCAGAGATGTGCAGTGGTATCTGACTGCGGTTTTCAGCTGCGTTTCTCTAGTGGCCGGTGCCGAACGCCTTTTGTGTGCTGATTTACCCTTGTATGTGTCTTCATTGGTAAAATGTCTCTTCGTGTCTTTTGCCCATTTTTAAACTGGATTGTTTATTTGTTTGCTATTGGGTTCTGAGACTTCCTTATATATTCTCCTTATTGCACATGTGGTTTTCAAGTATTTCCCCTCAATGTGTGGCTTGTTTTTTCATCTTTTTGACAGGATCTTTTGCAGAGCAAAAGCTTTAAATTTCCAACATATCCATCTTTTGTTTCAAGGACCCTGTCTGAGCCCTCTTTGCCTCTCCCTAGATCCTGAGGATTTCCTCTGTGGCTTTTCTAAAAGTTTATTGGTTTTATGTTTTACATGGAAGCCTGTGATCCATTTTGAGTGGGTTTTGGATTGAGACGTGAGATGAGGTTGATGTTGTTGCCTGGTGTCCCTGGCTGCCCCAGTGTGCCTGTCCCTCTGTTTTTGGATTGCTGGTGTGCCTGGCTCGGGTGTGACTGCGTGTGGGCCCTCAGAGCACCACCCGTCTCCATGCCTGTCCCTGTGCAGTGCTGAGCGGACCAGACTGCCTTTGCCCCCTTATTCTTTTTTGTGAGGACTGCGTTAAATCACTCTCAGGCATTCTTCTATCTCTGCATCTCACTGTTGCCCTCTGTTGACTATCTTTTTTCCTTCAGTTTAAGATCTTGGTACAGGTGACTTTTTTATTGGGACCTGCTCAGGTGATATTGTGAGACTCTGGCTCAAATTCCCCGTGAGCCCTTCCCCATGGTCTCTGCTAGTGGAGGTCATGCCTCACTCCTGCTGGCTTCCCTCGAGGGCCCGCGAGTCCAGGCCATGGTGCAGGAAGGGCCAAGGTGGATGAGACACGGCCCCCACGTGGCCCTTTCCAACACTCCCCCCACACAGGGACTCTGTGGGTCCTCCCTATAGCCTGGCATCATGGGGATCAGTCTCGTTGGAAAGGCTTCTTTGTTGCCAGCGGCCTCCTTTCCTGGCTTGTTAGGGCTTCTTGGCCTGTGCCTGCTGACGTCTGTTTCTGGCTTCTTTTGCTCTAAGTCAGACATAATGAGGCAAAAGGAGAGATGGGGTTATTCCTCAGGTCCAGGGTCGCTGGCTGCTCTCCCCTACACAG